CTTCTGTTGACGGTGCCTCTACTGTAATGTCTTCTGTAGAGGGTGCCTCTACTGTAATGTCTACTGTTGAGGGTGCCTCTACTGTAATATCTTCTGTTGAGGGTGCCTCTACTGTAATGTCTTCTGTTGAAGGTGCCTCTACTGTAATGTCTTCTGTTGAGGGTTGCCTCTACTGTAATGTCTTCTGTTGAGGGTGCCTCTACTGTAATGTCTTCTGTTGAAGGTGCCTCTACTGTAATGTCTTCTGTTGAGGGTGCCTCTACTGTAATGTCTTCTGTTGAGAGTGCCTCTACTGTAATGTCTTCTGTTGAGAGTGTCCCTACTGTACTGTCTTATGTTGAGGGTGCCTCTACTGTGCAGTCTCCTGTTAATAAGAATGGCTCTATTGTACAGTCTTCTGTTGAGGGTGTTGCTCCAGCAAGGTCTTCTGTTGTGGCACCTTCTAAAAGTCTACTATAAAGTCCTGTTAATGCTGTCTCCTGTCTATCTAAAAAAATCATCTAATTAATTTAATCTTGTCATCTTAAAGTTGATATTGAATGTTTTTTGTTTTGTTTTTTCATTAGGTACATTTGGACAATGTAGATATATGTACTATGGAAGACATTCAGAAGGAAACAGATTTATTAGGAACAATGACCTTTGAACTATTACCTCTTCACCTATACTTTTTCTTTTTTTTCTTTTTTTGCTGAAAGTATTCAAATGCTCACAGTAGCTGAGTAGCTCAGGTCTTTAACTTACTTTAGATAACTTGCCATATTTGTTTCAATGGGTGATAAAAATTACCCTAATAAAGTTTTAGTCTACTTTATTATATTTGGTGCTATTGGAATCCCCTCCCCCTCATATTAGCTGCTTTATTGAATAATTACAGGACAACTTTTGATATTCTAATATGAGTGAATTGACCTTAGACGTAAAGGTCATCACATCCACTATTTCTGTTACCATGGCTACATAGAACAGTGGGCGCGGAGATAGAAAGAGAATGGAGCACTGTTTTAGGGGTAAAAACAAGTCGCGTGATTGCCTCAAGATCTTGGCTGCCATTCGTGTCTTAAAGTTTATTGTAATTCCAGGCAACACAGCTTATGCAGAGCACCTTGCCAACCAGTAGTATGTTTGCCATTATCAAGTAAAAACTTGAGTTATATAAAAATTATAAATATTTTTCTAGCATTACAATCATGGTTTTAAATAAGTACCAATTTTGTTGATAAAATCCAAGCAACGCTAAGTAAGTTTGTTATGAATAACAATTGCATGTGATTGATACCAGTAATTTTTTCATTCATAATTCATTGGCGCACCAGGTGTTGTTGAAATTCAATTTGATATAATAGTGAAAATAGTTGAACTCAATCTGTGCATTCTTTTTTTTAATGAGCCCTAGAGTTGATGGTTCCCTTTGCGTTCCAGACTTTGGAATAACATAAACCCTCACCTTTTGCCAGTTGTCATAGTGAATTTAATAGAATTATGTCATGATTTTCACCACCAATGGCTATCATTTAAAAACCACCACCATTAAATATATAAATGAAACTTCATCAAAATGTGAGTTCAATAGGTCCATGATGAGTAGCATACTTCAATTTGTTGCATGAATTTATATTCGGCCAAAAAAGAAACATGTGTTTCCAGTAAACCCAATCATGTTAAGATTTTGCCTGCATCTTTTTATGGCTAAGGTGACCACTTCCTGTTTCTAGCTGCATGCTGGGTAAATCCTGCACAGGAAAATGACAGACCCATACATCATCATGGTATCAACAATTGCAAGAAAAATTAAAATAATAAAAAAGACTAAATGTTAACAGAAAATCGCTATTCATGTTTTTTGGCCTCAGGATAGCTTTTTTGTGCTAAACCTCCGCCTAGTCAACCACACACCCCTCAAAACTAATTAATTGTTGAAGGACTTTGACTTTAACAATCATAATTATATTGACAACGTATGCTGTGACATGTGGCAACTAATTAGTTTCCTAATTTTCTCAGTAATTCACTTGGAAAAATAACAACTGTGAGTCATAGTTTATACTACAAGGCTGAAACCAACAATGTAATGATGTAATGTTTTGACATTTGTTACTATGACTAAATACCCTCATTATTAAGACATTGAATCATGGATTGAGTTAAATATAAATGCCAGGGTGAAGTCACTGTTCACTGATTCTTAAAATATTCTAAATTGTGGCATGGTTTTTTTTTTTAATCAATGCAATCTGGATTCACTCATTTGGTACCCTGGGTTTACTCATTTGGTACCCTGGGTTTACTCATTTGGTACCCTGGGTTCACTTGATTTTAGTACCCTGGGTTCACTCATTTGGTACCTTGGGTTTAATCATTTGGTACCCTGGGTTTACTCATTTGGTACCCTGGGTTCACTCATTTGGTACCCTGTGTTCACTAATTTAGTACCCTGGGTTCACTTATTTGGTACCCTGGGTTTACTTGATTTTAGTACCCTGGGTTCATTTATTTGGTACCCTGGGTTCACTCATTTGGTACCCTGGGTTCACTCATTTGGTACCCTGGGTTCACTCATTTGGTACCCTGGGATCACTCACTCGGTACCCCGGGATCACTCACTTGGTACCCTGGAATCACTCATTTGGTACCCTGGGTTCACTCATTTGGTACCATGGATTTACTTGATTTTGGTACCCTGGGTTCAATCATTTAGTACCCTGGGTTCACTCATTTGGTACCCTGAGTTTACTTGATTTTAGTACCTTGGGTTTACTTGATTGGTACCTTGGGTTTATTCATTTGGTACACTGGTTTTACTCATTTGGTACACTGGGTTCACTCGTATGGTACCATGGGTTCACTCATTTGGTACCCTGGGCTTACTTGATTTTAGTACCTTGGGTTTAATTGATTGGTACCTTGGGTTTATTCATTTGGTACACTGGTTTTACTCATTTGGTACCCTGGGTTCACTCATTTGGTACCCTGGGTTTACTCATTTGGTACCCTGGATTCACTCATTTGGTACCCTGGGTTCACTCAGTTGGTACCCTGGGCTCACTTATTTGGTACCCTGGGTTTACTTTATTTTAGTACCCTAGGTTCATTCATTGGGTACCCTGGGTTTTACTCACTTGGTACTCTGGGTTCACTCATTTGGTACTCTGGGTTTACTCATTTAGTACCCTGGGTTTACTTGATTTTAGTATCTTGGGTTTACTTGATTAGTACCTTGGGTTCACTTGATTGGTACCCTGGGTTTATTCATTTGATATCCTGGGTTCACTCATTTTGTATCTTGGATTCACTCATTTAGTATCCTGGGTTTTTTCACTTTGTATCCTGGGTTTATTCACTTTGTATCCTGGCTTTATTCACTTTGTATCCTGGGTTTATTCATTTGGTACTGTAGGTTTAATCATTCTCTCTTTCTTCTATTTTATATGCCTCTAATTCTCTCAATACAAAGAAGTTATTTTGCTTTTTTATTATTTTTATATGAATAGATGAAGATGTACACTCCCTACCTGACATTATAGAGGTTTTTTTTTTCAGCATCAGTACTATTTATTTGCTACAATATTTATATTTGGCTTTGAATATTATTATGTAATTTTTGCTACTTAATTAATTTCCTTGTAATACCAGCAAGCATGCTATATGATAAAGAAAAATAAACAGTCAATGACATCACACATGTCACTCAAAAACAAAATAAAATGACAGTTTTTGAATAAATAAGTAAATAAATCTGCTTGCGTTCATGGATTTGAAAAATTTACTGACCAGAACTGTGGGCCTATATGTTTGATGGGTGTAGTAGACAATAATATGCTATAAAGTTATATATATATATCATTTCTATGGTTGATATTACTTTGATTACGAAATTTCAAGTGCATGACGTATTCTAATTCAACTGGTCGTTTTCTAAACTACCCTCGTTAGTATTATTTGGAAGCTTGAATTTAGATAAATAAATCATATGATTATAACAAATTGGCTTAAAATTAAGTATCTATCAAATTTGTATTCTACAACAGCGACGTACACATGTACTTGTACTTATTGATTATTGAAATATTGATTCGCTTGAAAATCAGACCATGGAAGGTAGTAACGGAGTTAGTACCTTCCATGATCAGACTAAACTTGGTGGTTTCAGAAAATGACAAGTTGAATGAGACCGACTTGTATTGTGTCCGTTTTTGGTTTAGAGAGCATAGAATTATTTAGTTTTATGTCACATGCATGTGTTTTGAATTCATAGATTATACAACAATATTTGGATGATTAAAGTATAATTGTTATTAAAATGAAGTGTTTTTTATTTGAAAATGAAAACAAGCTAGAATTGTTCCAAATATTACACGACCTAAAAAAATCAACAATTCCTATACATTGTCAGTGCTGACCTCTAGTCTGTCATCAGAAACTTGATTGATATGCAACAAATTAGGAGTTGATTATTGGTCCAATGATATACGAGGAGAAAAAAATATTGTTTGTGGGGATTTTAATGTCGATATTTCTCTAAACTGTTTCTCTGTTCATTTTGTGATCTAGGTAAATTTTGACCATTGAGGACGCTATTTATTTTTATTTCAGTTTATTTTTGGCATTGTAAATATTTAACCATGTTTATTTGAGAATATTGATTCATGTATTTTCAGTAATTCAAAATATTTATTTTCATAAAATGACCAAAAAACAATGAAAGTCATTTGCATAATTCCCTTGAACTTGTTCGAGATACTTATCTTCATTTGTCTTTTGGACCACTGAATTATTAAAGCGGTAGGGTCGTCATCTGCGCACACATGGGAATTGAGTCCAAGCGATGATAACAACACACGCTAAAAACGCAAAGGCTCATGGGTAGACGCTTGTTTGTAAACAATGACATGCTATGGCCATCTAACGCAGGCGCAAGTGACGACTCCCCCGCTTTATAGTTTTGTTTTTTAGTCGATCTTGTTTCAACCTACTGTATTGAACACCAAGTCCAAGTTTGTAACTTCAACAAATAACAATTCGAGTCAAATTTGCAAACCCACATGAATAATTCA